TTGTTCCAAATGAATTTTTGTATTGTTTTCTCAAGGTCCATGAAGTATGTTGCTGGGATTTCAATTGGGATTGCATTGAATCTATATAGCAGTTTTGGAAGTATGGTCAATTTCACTGTGTTGATCCTTCCTACCTAGGAGCCAGGGATGTCTTTCATTTTCTAATATCATCTTCAATCTGTCTTTTCAGAGTGCTATAGTTTTCAGAGAAGAGGTCTTTGATATCTTTCTTTAGGATGATTCCCAGATATTTCATTTTCTTGGATACTATTGTGAAAGGAATTGTTCGCCCTATTTCTGTCTCAGTAAGTCTGTTATTCATGTAGAGGAAAGCTATTGATTTTTGGGTGTTGACCCTGTATCCAGCTACTTTACTAAATTTGGTTGTTAAGTCTAGAAGACTTTTGGTGGAGTTCTTGGGGTCTTCTATATAGAGTATCATGTCAACTGCAAATGATAACAATTTGACTTCTTCATTTTCTATTATTATTATTCCGATTATGTTCTTTTTACTTCTTTCTCTTGTCTAATTGCCATAGGTAATGTTTCCAAAACTATATTGAACAGGAGTGGTGGACATCCTTGTCCTGTTCCTGGTTTTAATGTGAAGGATTTCAGTTTTCGACCATTTAGTATGATATTGGTTGTTGGTTTTTCATAGACAGCTTTTATCAGATTGAGGAACAGACCATTTATTCTAATTTTTTATAGGGTTTTTATCATAAATGTGTGTTGCATTTTGTCAAATACTTTTTCTGCATCTATTGAAATGGTCCTATGGTTTTTGTCCTTGGCTCTATTGATGAAGTGTATTACATTGATTGATTTGCATATGTTGAACCATCCATGCATCTCTGGTATGAATCCCACTTGGTCAAGGTGTATGATCTTCTTGATGATCTTCTGCATTCTATTTGCCAGTATCTTATTAAGGATTTCTGCATCTATGTTTATTAGTGAGATTGGCCTATAGTTCTCTTTTTCGGTTGGGTCTTTCTCTGCTTTGGGGATCAAAGTGATGCATGCTTCCAGGAATGAATTTGGGAGCATTGCTTCCCTTTCAATTTCACTGAAGAGTTTAAACAGTAGTGGCAGTAGCTCCTCTCTAAATGTCCTGTAGAATTCAGCAGTGAAGCCATCAGGACCTGGGCTTTTCTTAGTTGATAAGTTTTAAATTACATTTTCAATTTCATTGATTGATATGTGGTAGTTTAGAATTTTTAGGTCTTCTTCTTTCAACTTTGGTAATTCATACATATCTAGGAATCTGTCCATTTCTTCTGTGTTTTCCATCTTATTGGCATATAGTTTCTCAAAGTAGGTATTGATGATCCCTAGATTTCTGCTGGGTCTGTTGTAATTTCACCCTTTTCATTCTTAATTGCATGGACTTGGGCCTTTTCTTTCCTTTATCTGATAAGGTTGGCCAAAGGTTTGTCGATGTTTTTCATTCTTTCAAAGAATCAACTCTTGGTTTCATTGATTTTTTTTGGTATCACTTTCTTAGTCTCCATTGCATTGATTTTTGCTCTGATCATTGTAATTTCCTCCCTTGTATGAGCTCTGGGTTTGTTTTGCTCTTCTTTTTCTAGAAACTTGAGGTTCAGCACCAGGTTGTTTAATTGGGCTCGTTCTGTTTTCCTAATATGTGTATTCACTGCTATGAATTTCCGTCATAAGACTGCTTTCATTGTGTCCCGTAGATTCTGATATGTTGTATTATCATTGTCATTTAATTGAAGGAACTGTCTTATTTCTTCTTTAACTTCATGTGTGACCCATTGGTTATTCAAAAGTATGTTGTTCAGTTTCCAAGTGTTTATGAAATTCTTGCAGTTTCTTTTGCTATTGATCTCCAATTTCATGGCACTATGGTCTGATAATATACAGGGTATAACTTCAATTCCTTTGCACTTACCTGAATATGTTCTATGAGTGAGTGTGTGGTCTATTTTGGAGAATGACCCATGTGCAGCTGAAAAGAATGTGTATTCTGATTTTGTGAGGTGGAACACTGTGTAAACCTCTGTTAAGTCCATTTGTTCAAGAATTTGATTGAGTTCTAGTATTTCATTGCTTGTTTTTTGTCTAGTTGATCTATTTGTGACAATGGGGTATTGAGGTCCCCCACTACTATTGTATCAGTGCTTATTTGATTTTTCATGTCTGTTAGTATTTATTTTATATATTTGGGCACACTAGTGTTTGGTGCATATATATTTATGATTGTCATCTCTTCTTGTTGGATTGTTCCCTGTACAAGGATGTAGTGTCCTTCTTTGTCTCTCTTAATCAGTGTTGGTTTGAAATCCACTTGATCTGCAA